AGCAACAGCACCAGCACCAGCAACAGCACCAGCACCAACATCAGCACCAGCAAAATATGGACACGGAGCTCCACATCGGCCCCCCGGCCCCTCAGTCGCAGGTCTACAGCATGCCTTTATCCGGCTGTGGGGACCTCACCATGACTCTGTCCCACAGCAGCCCGTCAACACACGCCTCAGCGAGCGGCAGGACCATGCAGAACCTTGGCAACGTCGCATTGCAGACAAACAACGGCAACTACATGATGGCCGAGCACCAGCTACAGCAGCATCATGGTTATTACCACGCCTCTCCGTCACACACAGCGCCACACAGCCTGCCCCCGTCCCCCCCCAACTCTCAGCCGGGGAGTCCAGACAATCAGGCGGAGCTGCTGAGTTTAGCACCGCAGCTCCACCTGGCCTACCAGCAGCGCCTGGGAGGGATGAAGGTGACGGGGCTTTCTCCACACGCCATGCTGATGACACACGGCCAGGGGGTCCTGACGGGCCCCAAATACAACAGGCGGAACAACCCGGAGCTGGAGAAGAGGAGGATCCACTTCTGTGACTTCCAAGGTCGGTTTTAGTCCAAAAACAATGTTCACTCTAACACAATTGTCCCTATTTTCCACCATGCGCTATAAAAAAAACAGTATAAGTGTACATGTTTTGTAAAGTGTACATGTTTTGTTTTTAAATAACTGCCATGTGTGGAATAAACAAATAAATAAATTCATTTTATGGAGTCCCTTGGGGGCAAGAAAATTTTTTTTTTTTTCTAAGCATGTAATTAGCAACCAGGTCATTCTACCAGTTGTCTACAAATGTGAGATATCTGGCACTATACTTGTATTTACATGATGTGTTTTAGGGAATCAGAATCCCCTTTTTCTTTTCTTTTGCAAGTTAAAAGTGAAGATACTAAACCAGCCTTTTTATTTCAACGAGCCCTGCATGAATTCCTGGACTTTTTAAAGGCTTACTTCACACAAAAAACGAAACGAATGAAAGCAAGTCACAACACTACCACTTCATCAAGTTGGTTCGGATTGCTTTCAACCAAAGTCCCTGTTGTGTAAATAAGCTTAACTGCCAAAGCAAAAACACATATGCAAATCTTTCAGTAACGCAATGCCGCTCTATAATATCAAACAAACAATAACTGGGTTGCCAACATTCTGTAAAACCCACTGGGTTATTCAGCCTGGAGGGCAATTGTTTGAAAGGGTCCTTCTGGGTTCGCTTACCAAAGATTTCTAAACATGTGATTGTCCTGTGTTAAGTACCATTCCCACTGTGTCACAGGTGAAAAACAACTCAAAAGACAGCACTTTTTCTGCTTGTTAACATCTTTATGGCCAGGTTAAACTTAGCGTCAGGTGAGCACATTTTCCGCAGTCAGCCGGGCTCATCCATCTAACTCTCTCTGTGATTTATTTTCAGGCTGCTCCAAAGTTTACACAAAGAGCTCCCATCTGAAGGCTCACCAAAGGACGCACACAGGTAAGAAAACACTCCTCTGTGGATTTAACTGACACAAGATGACATCACATTGCACATCACTGTCTTCGTCTACATGCAGTTCAGTCAAAGACACTAGAGGAAAGTGACCATTTTTAGCTAATTGTAATAAGCCACTGACTTTGAAGCAGAAATTGAAGCAGCTAATTCCAATAACTTGCTGCAGGGGCTCCTTCAGCGCTATGCATGAATTAGCACAAAGATTTGTATTTGTACTCACCTACCCCAGCAGCAGTGGCGTAACAAGGTTGTGATTGGCCCCGGTGCAAATATTGTTTTGGGGCCCCCATCGCACGCTGATGCGTTCACACACGCACGGACATACACTCTCTTGTCCTTTCTCTTTTGAGTGCTGTTCTTGTGCTTTGGTTTGCTGGACATTATAAATGCAAGCTATTACATTTTTTATAATGCTGCCGAACTTGCTGCTGCTAGCTACAGTACAGTACAGGTTGATTAAATGGTTCGCTCGTCACGCAAGGTATCACATGACATGAAAGGGAGCAAGGTCATTGGACAGACAAATTACAAATTTATTTAGGTTGCTTGGTTACTTTGAAGACTGTGTGAACTGGTCAATGCCATTGGGCCCCTGGCTGGCTCTGGGCCCAGGTGCGT